AGAGCCCAGAGCAGGGCCAGGAGGAGGCAGCAGAGAGCAGAGTCAGACACTGAGCTACAGAATTTGGACTAACAGAAAGACTGAGACACAGAGAACTCTAGGAAAGAAGGGAAGACAGAGATGGAGAGGGACATAAGCAGAGGAGACAGGGAGGATGACGCTGAGATAGCGTCAAGATAAAGCACTAAAGAGTAGAGACTCAGTAAGACGCTACGACATAACAAGGCTGGGAGGAGGCCCTGAAGGCCTGCCAGAGCATGGTGCAGGAGGAAGCAAGACTGGCTTCCGCGGCCATAACCTCTGTTCTCTGCCTCTCCCCGGCCTCAGGGAGAACCAGGAAAAAATGATCTACTACCTGCTTTTGGACCGCAAAGAGAGGTACCCGAGTTGTGAGGATGAGGACCTGCCACCGAGGAACGATGCTGGTGAGAGGGCAGGCCGTGACGGCACAAGGCGGGCCTCAGTTTCCCTGATCCTTAGCGGGATGTGCTCCATTAGGATCTCCAAGTGTCCGCGGGAGGCCACCAGGAGCTAGGCTGTTCTCCCTGCTTCCCCTGCAGACCCTCCAAGGAAGCGGGTGGATTCGCCCATGCTCAGCCGCCATGGGAAGAGGAGGCCTGAGCGCAAATCCATGGAAGTCCTGAGCGTCACCGATGCGGGCAGTGGCGGCGGGGGCTCCCCGGTGCCCACCCGGAGAGCCCTGGAGATGGCCCAGCACAGCCAGAGGTGGGCCCACTCCCTGACCCCCAGTTTGGTCTTAGCTCAGGGCCTCCTCTTGTCCCTTAGGGCAGCTGGGCTAGGGATGGGAAGGCTGGCTTGGATACTTTCTTATCGCCCTCGATCTCTAAGCACCCTCCCTGAGGTCCCTTCCCTGACCCCCTTGATCCTGCTCTTTCCCCGTTCCTCCCTGAAATGCAGATCCCGAAGCGTCAGCGGAGCCTCCACCGGACTGTCCTCCAGCCCCCTGAGCAGCCCCAGGGTGAGGCGGGAGACCCCTTGCTGGGGCTGGCGTGGGCCCTTCTCGGTTTTGCTACTGGGACACCCTGTGGCCTCATGGGAGTGAGCGGGGGGGGGGGGGGGGGGGGGGGAAGGGGTTTTCTGGGCGGCCCTAGAGAAAGTGCAGCCATGTAACTACAAATCCCAGAATCCTTCTGTTGGGGACCCTGGCATCAGTGCGTAGGGACCCATAACGCCCCGCTGAGTTGGGGTTGCTGTCCGCAGCACCACGACCAGCCCCTGGCCCAGGCGGTGACTGCCTGACGGCCTCTACCCAGCCTTCTCTCTCCTTCCTGGCAGAGCCCAGTCTTCTCCTTTTCACCGGAGCCGGGGGCCAGTCCTGGGGAGGAGGCCCGGGCCGGGAGCTGCCCGTCGCCGACGCCCAAGACTCAGACGCTGCCATCTCGGGGTCCCCGGGGAGGCGGCGCGGGGGAGCAGCCGCCACCACCCAGTGCTCGCTCCACCCCCCTGCCTGGATCCCCCCGCACATCTCCAGGGGCCGCGACACCCCCGCCCTGCTCCCCCCGGGCCAGCCCCACTGGCACACCCGGCGCCACCCCGCCTCCTAGTCCTGGGGCTGGTGGGGGTGTGGGAGGTGCTGCGTGGAGGAGTCGCCTCAACTCCATCCGGAACAGCTTCCTTGGCTCCCCTCGATTCCACCGGCGCAAGATGCAGGGTGGGTGGCCTGGGGGCCCCTCAGGTGGAGCCAGCTGGGAGCAGGGAGACCTTGGTCCCTAGGGCACAGGGCCCAGGACTGAGTTGTACCTCTCTCCCCCTCTTTCTCTCCCCCTCTTTCTCTCCCTGTCTTTCTCTGTCCCTCCCTCCCTCCTTCCCTCCCTCCTTCTCTCTCTCTCTCTCTCTCTGTCTCTCTCCCCCCTCTCTTCTTCTCTGTCTGTCTCTCTGTTTCTCTCTGTCTCCCCCCTCCGTGTCTTTCTTTCCCTCTTTCCTCCTCCCTCCCTCCTTCTCTCTCTCTCTGTGTCTCTCTCCCCCCTCTCCTCTCCTCTTTCTCTGTTTCTCTCTGTCTCTCTCCCCCCGTCTTTCTCTCTCTCCTCCCTCCCTCCCTCCTTC